CTCATTAGTGTTTAGAGAAACTTTTGATTTCTGAAAACACCTATAACTTTGTCAAATCTGCCTCAAAACACTCGATTGGGGTGCATTAGAAAGCTGAACTCTTCCTCTCAAACTTTCATAAGGTCAAGAACTATGTAGCTAGTATGACAATCATTCTATGGATCTGTATGTACAAATGTACAAAAAAGATTATATCTTTTTTAGCAGACCAGCATGCTGTGTGGTCCTATTATGAACTATTTGGAGGACAATTCCAGCTTACCAATGCACCCAAAATCGAGCGTTTTGGACCGGAATTGAAAAAGTTATGAGTATTTTCAGAAATCAAAAGTTTCTCTAAACACTAATGAGCCAAATCTCAGTGCTTGTTACAGGTTGTAATTGGATGATTGTGAAGGTTTATTGTTAGTACACTTATCAATACGGACTGTAAAAATATGGAAAAATATGGAGAGTGAAGCTCTCACCGCAGGGAACAAGATGCATATTTTTATTTATTTTTTGCCCTTCTCCTGGCCTCTCAATATTTTTGTGTATCAATAATTTAATTTTCTGCCCAGAAAATATTATCTTTCTTGTAGTGTTAGATTGAACCGTATCGAGTATTGCATGAGGAGTTATATTAGCTTTGTGACCGTAAATGTCGTGGATCATCTGGAATCTTGGGCACATCTGTTCCTTCTTTTTCTCAGTTGTATCAATGCCATTTTCATAATCTTTATCGAGTAAACCTGAACCCGTACTCCTGTCAAAGTATCGTTTTGTTTTGATGTATTTGTCTTTGATCGTTCTCCATCTCTTCATCATTCCAGGACCGTTGAGTTTCATTTTGTTGGTTGCACGAGCTGATGACTTCTTGTTCCGATTGTTATGAAATACATTCATCAAGGTTGCCAGAGTTTCCCAACAGCCTGCTCGAGTCGTTCCATCCACGGCGGTTATGCTGCCAGAGCCGAAGAGGCAATCTTGGTTTTCTTGCATGGCCATCAATCCGAGCAGGTGATCCAAGTCATCATTGTCAAAGCGTGGGCTGTTGTAAGCAGTTTCTTTCAGTTCAGTTTCTTCAGATTCAATATCTTTGTTTGTAACTGCCACTTTTGGCTTCGAGGATTGCTTAGATTGGGTGGCGACGATAGCTGGCTTAGATTGGGTGGCGACGATAGCTGGCTTAGATTCCGAGGCGACGATAGCTGGCTTAGATTGAGGAACCTTCACTTTAGGTCGCTTAGGTGGTTGAGGTTTGGAGGTACTAGCAGAGGTCTCGCGAGTTCTTGCAGTCTCTTTAGATTGTCGAACTTGAAGTGCTGTGGGTTTTTGTCCAGGTAACAAGCCACAGTCCGCTGCAATCTGATCCTTCGATCGTCGTGGCATCCTTCAAATAGATATCAAGACATTGATTAGAAAGGACCTCCATTCTTCGTTCATGATTCTCTTTTACTTACTTAATATGGACTTGAACACATTCGATTGCCTCAAAGCCTTGATTGAAAGAAACAAAGATTCAAAAATGATTTCAATTGAATATTATTGAATAGATGTTGGTGAAAGTTGGATTGTAACAGAAATCGAGGATGAGAAGGAAGAGTGGTTTGATTAATAGTTGGTGGTCAACCGGTTCAAAGTGAAATGGTCAACAGGGTTAAAGTGAGTTTGCGGTCACGGGGTGTTTTGGTCTTCCAAACTGGAGTACCGGGGTCAAATCTGGTCAAAACTTGACCGGATTGTTTTCGTAAAGCGTATATTTACGTATATTTACGCTAATTTTAAAACGGCAGACGTAAAAAGGTCTGCCGTTTTAAAATTATTTTACGTAAAATTTACAACAACGGGAAAGTTTTTTGAGCGTATAATTGCGTAAAATTTCGAACTTGAAACCCCTTAATAACGCTATCGTTGTATAAAAGATACATGGAGGTAGAATTCAGTCGAAAAGAAGGCCACAGCGAGTAAGGACGAAGCTAATGATATAGGATGACAATTGGAATACCAATGGATTGTTGGTGGCTGAGCTCATCAACAAACAGACGGCGAAACCTAATTTCGGCGGCGTTTCAAGGGTGAAGAGTTATTGGGGGTTTCCAAATCGACAGTGTTTTCGTCCTTCTCGATGTCGGGAACCACGTTTTCAATATTGTCCGCCGGTTTCAGGGGAGCCAACGGAGAGCTGCTGGGAGCGGCATCGAGCGTGGAAGCCGATGTGCTAGCAATAGTACTGGCCTTGTTTCTTTGCCTGGGTCAAATTGTTAGCAATTATTTGACTAAATGAAGCGGAAAATCATCTCACAGGGTCAATGGTACACGTCCACCTTTGGGAGTCCCAGGCTTATTCACGCCTTTGTCGATTAAGCTGGGGGCGTCGCCGGTGCATCGACTGATCGCGGTCACCTGCAAATGGCTGTCAACATGGAACCTTCGTGCGAGGGAATTGCAAAACGAACCTCGGTTTCCCACATAAAACGGTCGCCATCATAATCCTTGATGGCCCCGACTAATTGGACTTCTCGTCCAACTTGGCAAATATTTTGTGCCTTCTCCATATTACGAACAGGAGGAATATAGTGTTTGGTGTAGAACGTAACAGGAATTTTCGTCTAGAATGGTGTTGGTCAGCGTCATGATATTGCAGTATAACGTTTCATAAGCTTACAATTGGGTCATAGTCTTGTGACTGGAGCGAGATCACAACGGTGGATTTGCCTTTGTAAAGTGGATCCTTGACAGTCTCACGGGCGGTTACATATCCTAGCGCGATCATGACTGTTTTGTCCATGAGATCCTCAGCGAAAGACTCGCCGAATCGTGCAACGTCGCCAAGATCAATTCGGGCTGAATTTTCAAAGTGGAGGTGATCGTCCTGATTGTCGTTGGTACCGATCAACTTGCAAGTCATTGTATAGACACAATTGGGCTTAACAGCGTCGGCAGTAGAACCGTAGGATGTGAGACGAATCGGATTGGCGAAGGGGCGAACCCCCATTCATGCCGGAGGTGGCAATGGATGCATGAGAGGATATGAATCCTTTTGAATTAATCATGAGAGATGGGGCCTGAAAAATCGTATTAGTAATTAATTCAAAGTAGCGGCTAAAGGTGCGTACCTCGACTCCAGCTTGTCCAAAAAAGTTCACTCGAATAGGATGAGAAATTGAGTTAGAGTTGGTAGCAACCATAGTAATTGACGTAACACGCAGATAATAGAATGCAGAGGATTGGAGGACAGATGATTGGTTTAGCAAAAGTTTGATTGTTATGAGCAAGAAGACAGACGTGAGGCAAATTGGAGAGAGGATAAAGTGAAATACCATCTAGCTGGTGGGGGACGGCCTCTTATAGGATGTAGTGAGCCCGCGACCAGCCTTGGAAGCTTAGAGCGCACCGGCCATCGGTAGTTGGCGGAAAAGGCACACGCCGGATCAATGTGCTCGGGAACGCTCTGGCAGTAGATGCTGAAGCACGGACTGAATCAGTCAATTTCTGCGAGGTTGGTTAAGAGAGTATTGAGCACGGTTCAACATAAAGGGCAAAGGACTGGGTGTCGGTAACGGTGAAGGAACTAACGGCAACGCTTAGGTGGCATATCTGAGTATGAGTATGTGCATTAGCGTCGGCCAAGGCCCAGTGCAGTTACACGGCGAGACTCAGGCATGGCCGAAGTGGTAGATCTAGAAAAAAAGATTGCAGTGCACATCGGTATATTGGCTCAGACTGACCATATAGAGATACTGTTGGTAGTATCATTCAGTTTGCATTGAAGTGCGAAGGAGAGCACCAAATTAATATGGCGGCGGAAATCAACGCAGATTCAGGTGTAACTAAACAGCTGACAACGGGGTAGATCCAGTGATAGCATAACTAAAAGAGCGTGATTGACCGCCAATTGTGTGGCCAGCGAAGACTGCGAGAGTGCTGAGCAAGTCGGCTGAGCAGGATAGCGACTAAGATGGACATAGATGCGATTCTAACTCTGGCGCCTGTGATCAAAGAATGGTATGGACAAAGTGACGTAGAGAGTCTGAAAAAGCTTTGCGTGGGCGCAACTGGAGCAGTAACCACGACAGTGACCCGGTCAAGCAAGGCGAGGATGTTGAATCAATGTATCGGAATCCAGATCAGTGTAACGTTCTTGGGCCGTAATGTAAACCACGGAGAAATTTTTTTTCATAGTTTTTGTAGTCAACACCATCTCCTTATTATGTATGATCATTGGTTTGTAGCACAGATTGTGTGCTATGTTGCAACATTGTACAATGTGCAGAAATGGTCCAGCATTACACTTCAAATTAGTTTATTGGTAGAGCTGTAAAATGATAGAGATCACAGAAAACAAATCTTTTGGATTGGGAAGCAGATACAATTTGCTAAACCCCAATGTCCTGATGAGAAATAAAGATCTAACACACACAACATAGTGGTGATTATACTGTTTGAAATGTTTGAGAGTGAATTTTTCAGAGACTAGGACATACCTGCTGATCAAAGTGAAAAGTTTGAATCCTTGAGCAATGTGATTTTTGTAAAGGCTTTTGTCTAATTGGTTTTCCACAAGAAGGAAATTGGAAAGTTCCTTTGTGTTGATCTGAAATACAATGTGGTTTGTTGGATCAGATTGTAGATCGTAAGCCAATTGTATTAAAACCAAGTGTTGGGCTTTGTTCAAACATACAACTTTTGTTGGTTTATGCCAGAATTTAAAAAGAGCTTGCATAACATATCATTCCCATCATGTATAAGCTGACATGGCAATGGTGCTATATATGAAAAAACCTACAGATCTCTATGTGACTATAGAATACCCGCCCACCAATAAAAATTGAATACTGATTAGGCTGTGGGGTCTCTGTTTTACTCCTTAAGAAAAGGACAAACAAACTGGCTGTTATTGTAGTCACCTACCCAAAATGGGCAAAGGGGAAAAGCTATACATGCATACATAGATTTATTGTTCCTTTGAATGTCAAGTGGTTGACTTCACCACATATACTGTGTGTCTGAAATAATTGTTCAGGGTGATCATCAAAATGAACATTCTACAATTTGCTCATCTCATATGTTCAGATTAGAGTTCTGTGCGGAGCCAAAAGCTAACTTTCATTGATTTCATATGTCACATCATCCACAGTTCCATACCATGTAGAAAAACAGGAGCCTATTAATATGTTGTAAATGCCTCAGAATGTCCAAAGACGCCAAGTGGATGATTTAATGTATGACTCCAAGCATCCAGTCAGATTATCAAAAGACACAAGTGGATACTCTAGAAATTGAATCCAAGGAACCATGTTGCAAAGGGCAACAGTGAGGCCATGCTTTTCAATCAGAAATACAATACTTGTGGTTGAAATGCCACCCATTGCATGTAATGTTTCAAGCTCAAAGGAAAGGAATGTTGATATTCCACAGATTAAAAGCCAAGAATTGAATGATTTTGACTTCAAGGGGACAGGTTTTGTCAAAACATGGTGACAATCTGTTTTCAATTGAATTGTGTATGGTTAGGGATTTGATAGACATGGAAATAAGGGTACTCAAAGTAAGTATGTATGTGTACATACTTTTTGCTATATACTTTTTTTGGCGGGGAAGACGGGGCCAAAAGTATATTTTTTTCTTTGTCCCCGCCAAAAAAAGTATAAAGCAAAAAGTATGTAGCGCTACATACTTTACTTTGAGTACCCTTAATGTACTGCTTTTAAAAGTAGATAAAATAAAAATGAATCAAATCTTCTCACTTCTGGCAGTCCACAACTGATATCAAAATTATGTGCTTTCAAGGTAGAGGGACACTGAAGGGTTGTGACTCCACTCACTTTCAAGGGTGCAAAAATAGGTGGGAAGTAACTTAGTGTCTTCATTGCTATGAGGATGCGAGGGGGTTATATAGGCAAGCATCCTCCTATGGGAGACGAATAAGGAAAACGATGAGAGGTGGTACAACGGGAGACGATCGAAGATCGTCGTGATACAAGATATAGAAATAATAGAGATGACCGAATCCGGTAATGTGGATTTGGTTTTATATAAATAGGGTACTCAAAGTAAGTATGCACACATACATACTTTCGTGTGTTATTTTTTTTGGCGGGGAAAAAGAAAAAAATATACTTTTGGCCTCGGTCTCCCCGCCAAAAAAAAGTATGCAGCGAAAAGTATGTAACGTGGTCGCAGGCCCAGATTCAAAAAAAACCTTTTTACGTTTTTTTTTGTTTTTTTGAAGCTAGACACAACCCGGAAAAAGTATATCTTTTGTTCAAAGCTCAAAAATATGTACTTCTGAGCCAGAAACATAGTTTTTCCTGGTTGTGTGTAGTTGTGAAAAAGAAAAAAAAACTATGTACGGCAAAGTATACACCAACTTTGAGTACCGTAAATGTAGTGAATCCAAAAAAGGGTGCTCAGAAAACCTGATTTGAACACCTTGCAAACAAGACTTGCAATTGAAGAAAGTTGTGAACCCAGCCACCACAACTTTTTTCAATCAAGTTTTGAACCTATTGATTCCCGTAATGTGATTGTTATGTCTTGATTACACCACAAGAAACAAAACAAGATGTATTTCAAAACAACTAAAGTGAAAAAATTAGTAACAGGAAAATGCAACAGTAAACATAGCAAGACAGATCATTGACCCCCATAGTAAGATCAACACAATTAAGAACTCAGTGAATGTAATTGATTCATGGATAATCAAGTGACCTACTATGTCTGAAATGATTCAACATAGATATACAAAATCATGAAATCCAACTATCCAAGTTTGAATTACCTGAACCCTTACCTGAACCCAAGAGCTAGGGCACTTACTTCTCCTGGAATTTGTTACCGTCAAAAAGACTTGGTATTGTGGTGACCTGAGTAGTTCTGATAAGCATGCAGACTTTTAGCGGTCCAATAAGTTAAACTTTTATACTGAGCTCCGAGTAATGAGATGTGAGGAAATAAGAGAAAGTCAAAAACAAGAGAATTGGAAACAAGCTTAATGAGGGCATGAATGATAAATGATGTAAAAGATAGAATAATGTGAGCTCATTGAACTCAACTAAACGTATTAATGTCCCCCCTCCCGGTGTAGTAGTCGACAATAACATATTTAATTTCACCTACATAATAGTATCATTCCTAGATCTTATTGGTAGAGTCACGGGCAAAAAGATCGAGAAAACTTTGATATATGGGGCATATGTTGATCAGAGTCACAGATTGCACACACATTCGTGGTGACTGCGGTCGCATGCAATTCCGTGACACTGATCGACTCTCATACATACAAATGTGATTCTATCCTGGTCCCAGTGGATTTGATAATTGCCACATAGTTATCATGAGGCATTCTAGAATTTCCATATCTACCACTCGGAAGTCCTTGGCCAGATTGAGATTTGGTCGACTTTGGCTTCCACAAGGAGGCCAAGGCGGTACATGAAACGAACTCGAGATGGGACAGCGAAATGTGATGAAGCGTTGCTATATCCTGAATTCGGAAACATTCTGACCAACTGCAATCAATAAGCGCCTTGCGTGACTGTGGTGGTCAGTCGGCGTGGCCAGCGGTGGCCTTCACAACAACAAGATCACAAGAATTCATATGGATACATAAATAATCCTTCAGATACCATCATCCTTTTAGACGTCTATCTCTACTTGGTTTTTCTTCGGCTTTAAAACAGAACAAATCCATACGATCCTCGGCCCTTACCTCACCGCAAGCTTTACCTCGTCGTGTTTCCAAAGCAGGCTATCTCCGGCAAACCCATCGAGACCAACGAATCTCTCAACACTCCACCATGAACCCAAAATCCACTATGCAAATGGAACCTCTTCTTCCCATGCCGTACGCTGACCAAGCTGTTCCAACAAACTCTTCGAAAGGAAGACTGGGCCACATGGAAGCCGCCAAATCAAAACTCGCAGAAGTGTGGCGGTTTTTGAACACAAAACGGGTAAGATGAATATGTAGAAAACACAAGGAAGTTGAAAATATCCGCTCACATTTGTCTATTCGATTCAATAGACCTCTCCCAAAACGTGGACCCTAGTCGGTGTTTCGTTTATGATTCTGTCTTTTGGTGGACTATTCATCTCGATGGCAAAAAAGTAGGTCGGATCCTGTCACAGCAAGGGAAAATTTATGTTGACATAAGGGCCTTGTAGCAATCCTCAATCCAATCAGAGAACAAGGATAGCTTACACCTACCAGGACACCGGTCTTCAGACGAAAATGTCAGATCTTCCCGTTTGCAAAAGAACATTTCTCTACAGTTTCTTCAACTACGCTGGATTCGGGTCTACATTGTCTCACTGGGTGCGTGAATTCAAACAGTTTTACGACGTCTTACATCATCATTGACATCGCATCTTCTTAGGGAGAAGCGGCGCTTGTAGCTGCGGCACTTAATTATACCATGATCATAGATGATTCAAAATGGCAATACGGGAGGCTGAGTGTAAGTTGTTTTGTTCAATAGCAAAGAAATCAGAGGAAGTAACACTATATCTTTGCTTCTCTTAGGATTACTTTGACGTGACTCCCCTGAATTGCCAACCTCCTCAAAATGTGTCACGGGATGTGTTTAAGAATACAGGGAACGACCCGGATCATGTCTGGTCGAATCGCGATGTGTGAGCCATTTAGTCACGTCAAAGAATACTCTTACATTGAAGCTCACTCTGTTGCTACGCATTCAAGACGCGGTGCCTTTACGGGATGGATTCATCATCATGTAGATCCTCGAGCAATTGAGACCCATGCCGTATGGAACCTCCAGAATTATCGAGAACAGAGAACTGTCCTGCCTGCGGTCCAAAATGTACACTTCACAATGAAGGCAATCTTTGATGCCAAGACAGAAGCCTATCGAAGCATTTGGCGCCCGAACAAAATGGTCCTAGATGAAATACGAAAATTGAAGAAAGAGATCAATGATAAGATGCTCAAGACTCAACATCCTAATGCTAAATCACCCGCCGACTTTGACTTGCATTCACCTATGGCCAGAAAGTTGATATCTCTGCATTTCAGATTGGGGGATAAAAAGGTCGAAAACGCAGATTGGCACCCCGCTGTAGCGATTGGAATGCAGTCCGCCGTGGGAAAACCGAAGCCATACCTAGATGTAGTACGGTCTTATGTTCCAAACTGGAAGATCTCCAACGACCTACCATCATTGTTTGTCATGTCCGACGACCCCGAGGCAGCTTCAACACTTTTCAATGATCATCAATCATTCTATCAGCCTTCTCAACGCTTCCCAATCTTATTCCCTCCTCACGAAGACCCTCTTGCTTCTCACGGGCATGACCAAGGGCATTTCAATACGGCACCCCCCGAGGTCAGAAAGAAGCTCACCACGGCATTGGTACGCGATATTACTTTTGCCGTCGAGAATTCGGAAGCAATTGCATGTAGTTCATCCAGTAATATCTGCAATATCATGTTTCATCTGCGTGGCTCCGACGACGCCATTGGGCCGAATGGATCTGTGCGAAGCGTTGACGTACGCTGGTTTCCAAATGCGATGATCCACGATCTCAACAATCTCAGTCTCAATTACCTGAAAGACCGGGAAAAAATTCTAGCCATGGCCCCCAAGTTAGCCGAGGATCCAAGGAATTATGTCGACAATTAAATTTATACGATTCTTCAGGATTCTTCATCCAGCTAGAATCGAAACTCGCCCATATTGTACCATACACTTTTTCCACGCGTTCATGGAGTTTCTACGCATATAAGACCTATCAAGACCTATCGTCTTGTAAAATGGGTGGATCACCCGAGTTCATAGCAACTCACACACATACGTCCAATCGAAGTTGAAGTACACCTCTGCATCGACTGATCATGAATGGTGACAACAAAGTATATCCCTTTTTCTTGCATATTTCCTCTGTTTAGATTTATTTCATGTCTGGTTTCTAGATCTTTATCTTGTTGTTCTTACATTACTCCTATAATCCTCATCGTCTTAGTTTCAACAGTTTATAGTGTTTTCATTATTCGGATTTTTCCTCTCCTATTCGCAATTAAAATGGTCTGCATGAACCAACTTATCCTGAATACAAGGTTTGTATGATCTTATACATATACTGAGAGCTACTCATGGGAGTCCCAGAAGTCAAACTGCTTCACGCGCCGAATACATAGCCGCCAGGAAGACCATAGCGACCGGTCGGCCTCTGCAATTGCCCATGTGTCCAAATCCTAACTCAAGCCTTCGGGGGACGTCTCTGCGAGAATCGGGACTTGTGTTGAGTTAGGTCCAAATCTGGATATCACCAGGTCACGATTAGAGTACAGGTCACAACCGGCTAAAGCCTTCCTTCCTTCGGTTTGCGGGTGAATCTTGCTTTCCCTCGTTGTTCCATCATTTTTCCATCGCACTGGATGACTCTACACGTGTATACAGACAGAAGTCTTCATCGTTTGAGGTGCAGCGTCAGGCCACAGAAAAAAAATGTATCGAGAAGTGGTGTACACAACTCACAGAAGTCTGCAGTCCTTATCTTGGAGAAATTCCAACAATTGCCAATCACCCAGCAATCGCAATCGCAATCGCAATCGCAATGGCGGATGTCGATGATGTGCTTGTCGCCAAACAAACTAATGATCGCAAATAGACTCTTGAGGAGCTGCGCTCGCGGCTCCCCTCCACGGTCGGTCTCCAGTCGTCTTTCCTTCATGCGTTCAGTACATATCTTCAGATTGTACTGAAGAGTGTCTCGGTGACGTCATCCTTACATGTTGCAAGCTGATCGATTTTGCTGAGATGATGTGTATTACAGATCCTCAATCAATGAGTTTCCTTGATCGATGAGAATTGAGTTGGGCTATGAAAGAAGTTGACTGCTCATCATATTTCCTCTGAAGCTTCAAGAAGACTTCTGAACGTCGCTCTAACCCTATATACCTTTCCCAGCATGTCAGATACCCACCTGTTACAGATTGAGGATGAGCGCGGGCGGAAGGTCTCGCTCGAACTGATGTCCAAAGGGTTGACTGTTCACCGCTTGCTCGTTGAACGTCCAGGTTTCCCACCACGAGATCTCATCTGTGGGCCTGAGAAAACTGATGGATATACACAAGAAGGACGAAGGTTCAAGAACCAAGTGGTCGGACGTTATACTAATCGGCTGGCTGGAGGACAAACATTAATCGAGACTCGCGAAGGTGAACAGTTATCGCTGAACCTCGAAAGGAATGGTACGTTCGCAATTCAAGTATCCCTACCGACATCGCTGCTTCTGTTTACCATAAGATCCAACCCATCGTGTGTATGCAGATCATGGCAAAAATTGCCTTCATAGTGGCTCAGACGGTTATGATCTTCGAGATTTTGAATATGTCAGTGAAGACTCGGCGATTGTTCGATCATTCAAAGACGATCCCAACAACACCTCGGGACTGCCTTTGAACACAACAGGCGAGAAGGTCTTCTTGCATTTGTATTCTCCAGCCAATGATCAAGGTTTTCCCGAGTCAATCGACATTCTAGCAACTGCGACCCTTTCCGCTGCGGGAAATTCAGGAGAGAATGCTCACGCTCAACCGATGATGCCTTCACACTCGCTTGTTGGCTGCTTGACGTTTAGCTTGCAAGCTAGAATCCGGGAACCTCTCGAAACTTTGAAGCAATCACATATTCGAGGTACACCTATCAATTTAACGTGGCACAATGGCTATATCATGAACGACTTCAAAACAAACGCCGGGGAAGAAGGTGGGATAAGCCAGCACAAGTTAGGTATTCTCGTAGGTCTCCCACTCAAAACACGTTCAGTCTCTGTTTAGAATCAGCGCTTGTCTTATGCTTTGACCCTTGCTTTCAGGGTGAACATTATGTCGAAGTTGACAAGGAGCTACTTCCTACCGGTGAGCTCAGGCCAGCGAAGGAGATCGGGCTTGATTCAAACGGCGATTTCATATCAGGAGAAGGTGTCGAGCTAATTGGCGAACAGATACCCAAAGACGGTTTTGGTGAGGCTTTTGATTGTAACATGATATTCGTGGACCGGTTGATGATGAGTGGATACTCACCCGCAATCCGCGCCCCTTTGCTAATCTCCTGAGCTTGACAGACCATTGTATAGTCTTCAAAGAGCCAGAAAGATTAGAACTACCTAAGGTCACTTTACGAAGCCCAAGTGATGACCTGGTCATGAACTTCCGGACCAACCAGACGGCAGTACAGTGCTACAGCTCCAACTTTTTTGATGGGTCTGGATTCCGCAAGAATTTGCATCAGAATCAGTCTACTCCTCAAGGATATTCAAAGCAAGGTGAGTTGTTGACATCAGCTTATAGATTGACTCCAAGACAAATTAGGTACATAATTTATGACATGAATTTTGATGAACAACATGATGTTATTTTCTCACAAGATACGCTATACCTCGAGTTTCAGCAGCCAACTGGGATATGTCAAAATCAGAAAATCCAAAATCAACTCAATCTTCATAATGGCAGGGACAATAGTTCGATCTTATACCCAGGGGAAATATATAATAATTGGTTCACAATTGATATATACGCCAAAGATCCATAACTCGTTTTGAGACCACCACAAGCTACTGAGCGCGCATCTTGTCTCTCGGATTCTATCGACATGACATATATGTAGATGTAGAACTTGGTTGTACCTCTCAAAGTACAAAGGAAAACGTTATTGGTTTAACTTATGACAAATAGAGCTATGTAGTTCTATATTTGAAATGTGATCTCTATTACTTTATATGAAATGTTGTAAAGTACAGCAAATAAAAAATGAGAAAGTATCACAGGACTTTAGTAACTAGGGATAGTCAACACAGGAATGTTGATAGACAAATAGGTCACACAAGACAATGACAGGGACAAATTAGTGACGCGGGACTGCACAGCGGTAAGAATGTTTCGACCGAGGTTTCCTGTCAATGTGGATGAAGGAGAAATGTAACTGGTTTATGTGAATCTGCGAGCGGAAGAGTAGGTTCAAGTTGTTAACCTGTCTCAAGCATGGAAAAGTCAATGCTCACCATTAGCAAAGAATGTTATGAGTCCACATTAATGGCACATAAAGAGTGCATGTTGTATATGAAAATGAAAATCCAGTTTTTGTAATGTTGGATAGGGATGAATGCGCATTACCGCGTCTTGATGTGAAGAAGTCAAAATTTGAACGCTTTACAGGCAACAATTGGTGATATTCTCATTGGCATTTTGACAGTACAATGCTGACAAAGGAGTGAAAACAAGTATGACGGAAAGAGATAAAACAAGTGGGACTCATAAACAACATTGAAAAGTGCGGAGACAATGAAAGAAAGGATGGATGTTTTTACAGGTGACAGGATACAGCATGATGTTCAGTAGTAGGAATCCGTGTGAGAACCAGCTGGTGCAGATCCGGCAGTCGTACCTTGTACTGCTCTAGCAGGGGATGCGATCATTGAGGGAACAGGGTTTTCTTGTTGAGGAGCTGTGGTAGGAGAAGTTGCCGGTTGACTACCAATGTAAGCGGGAGGTGCTGGGACGTTGATACGGCCTGTAGACTGGCTGACTGGGAAGTCTCGGTTCTCGGGTGTCTTTTCTGAGCTATCGGCATTCTTATTGACTAAAGGAGAATTTGATGCGTTTTGCTCAGGTGCAACGAAAGAAGCTTTCGAAGTGGGTACTGCTGATGCGTTTGTTGATGGCGCTTCGACTGGTTGAGCGGGTGCCACAGGAGCAGAAGTGGCCGTCGCTTGAGCCTGTTCAGGTGTGTTCGATTGGACGAGAGGTCTAGCAGCCACTGGGGTGACAACATGTTCCGGGGAAAGATATCCGGATAGCTGATTGTGAGGAGGAGAAGAAGCCATCTGTTTTTGAACTGGTTGTTCTACTGTCGGTTGGGGCATTGCTTGAGGTTGTTCAGGTGAGTTGTTTGATGTAACAAGAGGTCGAGCAGCGATCGGGGTAGTAACAGGTGAAAGCTGTTGATCCGGCGAGATGTACTGCTCTGGTTGCTTCTTAGAAATAGGAGAAGTGATCTGTTTCTGCGGTGGTTGCGCTGCCGTAGGTTGAGCTGTTACTTGCGGTTGTTCAGAATTGGACGGAGCGACAGGTCGAGTAGCGACAGGAGTGACATCTGGCGCTACCGGTTGTCCCGAAGACCCGCCTGATTGACTTTGAGTAATTGGAGTGGCCTTTTCTTGAGGTGGTTGTGATACCATGAGTTGCGCCGGTGCTTGTGGTTGCTCAGATGAATCGTTTGATGGAGCAAGGGGTCGAGCGGCAACCGGAGTAACAAATGGCGCAAGCTGCTGATTTGGGGATAGGTAGCCTTCAGGTTGGCTCTTGAAGACAGGAGATGAAGCACTCCGAACAGGAGGGGGTAAAGCTTGCATAGGGCTGGAAGCTTGCTCGAACTGCGGGGTGACTTGAGTTCCAGTAGTCTGGGGAATGTTAGAAGACGGGGCATTGGTGGGTTGCTCGGAATGAGAAACAATGCGTTTGTTTTCGATGTCGTGCTTGATGCGATGAAGCACGCCGTCGATCTTGTTGGCGTTGACAAATCCATTGCCGTCGATTTGTTGAGGTAATGGGACTTCGGCGCGAGATGTCGAGGGCAGGTTAGCAGGCGATCCAGCCATGTGCATGAGTGGTGATGTTAAGCTTGATAATCCCAAGAGATCACCGGGGCTTTGAATGTTGCGGAGTGACGAGGGCAAGGCGCCTCCCAACGGTGAGGTGTAACCCATGTCGCTGCCTCCAATTGGGAGAGCATTTGCAAGACGACCAACTCCCAAAGGTGATGGGTTGTTTCCAATGCCTCCAAGTCCTCCCTGTCCAAGGGGCAAAGCGCCTGTCAGTCCAGAAGGTTGACCAACACCACCCAGCCCGCCACCAAGAAGGGGAAGTCCAGTGACGCCAGGCGAGACACCTGATGGCGGCGCAGGAGTTTGAAGGCCATTCATTTGGAATGGTTGGTCCCATTGGTAAGAGTATGAAGATTGGCGGTTAGGTGAAGTGGCCGTACTAGTACGAGCAAGGCCGGCCACAGGGGAGTCGTCTCCAGGTTGAGACTGGGAAGTATCGCGAGCGGTGGGCTCTGGACCACCAGAGATGTAGTCAGAGGTGGCCCTGGTTCGCATAGTCGACGGAGCGCGCTTAGAGGTTGATCTACGTTGGTAGTGATTACTATGCATCGTAAAAGTAAGCTTCTGTGGCGGCCAACTTATGTGAATGTCAGGGAATCAAGCTTACACCTCACTGTGTTTCCGAGTGTTGAGGGCCATGCGTGCATCGACACCTTCGATGTTAGCTAAAAAAGAACGAGATGAGTCAAATTTGATGCATGGAAGGATAATTTGAGGGGGCGAACGCACTACTCAAGAGGGCGAAGATACCAGCAGCTGCGTAGGATAGGGTGATCTGCATTTTGTATGCGCAAAGTTGATGTGTTTGAAGTGAGGTCGTTGATAAAGAATGTGGTTATTTGGTGATAGATCTTTAAGACAAGAAAGCTGAGCAATAGATATCGGATAAATCGAGCAAAGAAGTAAGCAAGTGTGTGGAATATGGAAATATGGAAACAGTAGACAAGTTATTGGATGAAGTGACGATATGGCAAACAAGATATCGATTGGGTGCGATAAGATGATCGGCAGACAGGTAGCGTAGAGTGACCATTTTATATGGATGCCTCCTGCTCTCTTCCTTGTCCGTAGGAGATGTACACGGAGAAAACGCGCCTTCTTCGGATGGAGCCATAAAGAAACAGGACTGGGCCGGAAGTTCAGCTTTCCAATGACCAGGTCAAACTGATTATGTAGTCCAGTTGATAGTAAGTGGTGCGTTCCGGTTCTTAACCTGTTGTTGTGAGCCCGGTACAGCCGTTCAGAGCGGTCAAGGTTAAAATTGTAATCGATTGACCGATGGTTCAACTTCAGTCCTAATCTTGAAATATTGGATTTTATATCGCAGCTAGCTAATCATGAAGGACATCTTCCCTTGAATCCGAAAAGCAGTACCTGGGCTGGTTGGAATATCGGACTCTGAAGCTTGTTTACTAAATCAGCGGAACACTCTGGCTCACAGGCTCGTCGCTCAGCGTTTGAAGACCGAGGCTGACTCAATTGTAGGCCCGATTGATGGCTTGATTTCCGATCCCTGATCAGCGTATGGTTCGCAGTCCATTCCACTCTTGCTACATCTGGTTCCAACTCGTATTCTTTAGTCCGACGTAATTCGATGTGAAGGGAATCCATTTTTCAAGCCGTCACAACATGCGTCTTCAATGAATACAACGAGCCGTTAGTTATGCAATGCAATGCGCAAGTGACCAGAAGACTCCAAGATGAATATTTTCCCTAAATGGCATGCCGTACATTATATTTTGACTCCAAATGCTTTCCCCGTTCACATAGGTACTTTGATAAAATACTTCCCCAATTGGTAACTTGGTCACTATCGCATCTGCCCGATTTGAGGTTACCCTTGGCGTCAATCGCAGTCAAGACCACCCAGGAGGGACCTCTCATGTGGTATCCGAGGGCTAATGGTTACCTCTCTTTCTTCCTACCAGGATGTTCATGTCAAGGAAACACATTTTAAGAATCCGAATAGTCAAGCTTAGAATAGCCACACGTTTTGGCGTTGTTGTCCTGTACGTATGTCGAGGAGTGGTTGTATCAAAGCACGCAGAGCATACAGCTCAAGTCCCTTTAAATCTTTGATTCAAGAGGGCTCTTCCCTGAAACTACATGAGGCGCAATCAGATTGACTGAAAAGCACTTTCGATTCCAATGACCCCCACCCTCTCCTTCGTACTTTCAGCATTCAGCATTCGATTCGTATAAGTTTCGACTTTTTAATCTTCCTACATAGGTTGACTGTAAGAAACTTGCACGCGAGATGCGCAACTTTTTTTTGTTTTTCGGGTTGGTCCTAGCAGCAATTTGTGCGAACGAGAAAGAAACAAGTAAAACCCCAGCAACATCAATAAACTCGCCCGTCGTGATACCTCCTTCATTTACGATGTTCATTGGAGGTACGCCTCCCCTTTCCCTACTTGAGACTCGTGTTATGACTTGATGGGTAAACTCTTCGTTGCTTTCCTCCGTATGTGTGCTCCAGGTTCTGGCAAGACCGTCGCCACCGTTACTTTTGATATCGTCAACAAGGTCTTCACCAATGTTTCTCAAACCATCAAATTGGGAGAAAGTCCTTCATGGCTCGTATTGGACCCGACGAAAAAGATCTTGATCAGGTGAATCTTCAAACTCCTATTCATCGGGACCCTCAGTCTGTTCTTTTATGAGGTCAGCGTGTGTTGACTCATTTCTTGACTATGTTCGACAAAACCTCTGAAAGTACATCTTCAGTGGGAAATTTCGATGGCAAAAACAAGACAGGAGGGATTTTCTCGGCGCAGGTCAATTCCAATGGAGCCCTCACCAAGATTTCCGCCTCCGAATCTGCCGATACACCAGTAGCCAGCGAGTTCAGTAAGGACGGTAAGCTCGTGGTTGTAGCAAGCTAGTAAGTTATCTCACAAACTAGTTCAACTCTCGCTCGGTGAGGATACGACTCTTACTCATTAGTCGCGATTATACTAAAAATTACTCATCTAGTAATGGTGGTGCTATTACAACTTATACCATAGATTCCTCTGGCGCTCTGTCGCCCAAGCCTATTCAGACATTCACTTTTGGGGGTTCAGGTCCTGTAAAGGAACGACAAGGCTCTGGTAAGCAACAAATTCACCCTATCATGGGGTCCGTTGACTGATAACATCAATCGTCATTTTGTTTCTTTGCCTCAGCGGCGGCCCACCAAGCTAGATTCGACGTAAGTCCGCTTCAATGTTTCATTCATCATAATTTACATAGCAATGACCGCATCTATCTTTTTAATAGCCCACTGGCAAATTCGTATTTGTTCCAGACTTGGGTTCAGACAGGATTCGGATATTTTCTGTCTCTGGGACTACTTTGAAGCAGACAAAGGATTTTGCCGTCCATGCAGGATGTGGGCCTCGCCACATGGATTTCTTTTCCGGAGGAAAAAACGTTCAAGCTTACGTTATTTGTGAATTGTCAAATGAGCTGTTGGTGCTAGATTTAACTCTGGAATCAGAAGCCACGTTTAAATCAAAGCAAAAAATCTCAACATTACCACCTAAAACAAATGGTACAACAATGAACGCAGCAGAGGTCGCCATCACACCTGATGGAAAGTTTTGTTATGCTTCTAATCGACAAAAGGACCCAAAAGGCAAAGATTCAGATAACACAATCGCCGTCTTCTCTCGCGATGAATCTGGGAAACTCGAATCAGCTGGATTCTTTCCTGCGGGTGGGAAAGGTCCTCGGTATATTGGTTTAAGTCCAGATGGAGATGCAAGATTATTGGTTGTTACGAATGAAGACAGTAATTTAGTGACCATGCATACAAGGGACAAAAAGACTGGTGCATTAACTCAAATTGCCAAATCAGCACAGGATAAACCAACGATTGCATTGTTCGATGTTTAAGGATCAAAGGAGGATAGGTGTGGTACAGTCTCAGATCTAGATACGCTCTTTCTGTGGATCATTATATTATCTGATTGGGTTATTGTATAGCTCCAAGGGAGTGATTCTGTCTACGAGTAGCTGAGAAGGAATGTAGTTTAGTCACTATTAATCTAAACCACGATCAACAAATTCTATGTGCGCCAAGGAAACTTGAGGTGACTGGACATGGACATCTTTCAATGTTTTGAGCCTAAGTACCCTTTTGTACAACAAATGATTTTTTTCCATTAAATTGTAAACTCATGTGGATTTAATTAAGCTAGGTAATAAACAAAGTGGACTTTTCTTCTTAGAAGATATCACATCTACTTTGAAACTTCAAACCAAATGAACCCCATCTAACATCTGGATTACAAAGTAGGACCAATTGAGATATCAATATAACAACGCATAGCATTTCACTTCTATCTTGCACTTTTACAGAGTTTTAAGAGATCTTTGGTTCATTTTGACTCATGGAAAAAAGATGAATGTCCAAAACTGTTGCCAAAACTGATTTTGAACCAAAGTCTTTCAAGTTTGAATTGTCCAAATGAGTTCTTTTCCAAGTTTTGTCCAAAACTTGCAAAAAGGATGCACTAAACAAACTGAAGACCTTTTTACCCACTGTATGTTCTTTTGCTTACCTCGTGCAATTGCTCAAGATTTGGTATGACATCATGATTTTGGTTTCTCATAAGATGATGTCAATAATGAGTATTCTATGTATGAGTCAATTGTGTTAAGCAAAATACAAAGGTTGTTTGTTGGAGTGCAATTGACATAAGGTAAAAATACTTAGGGCGCGTTCACTTGAGCAATTTCTGGTGAGAAATCACATTCTGCAAAATTTGAAGTGTCTATTTGGTGGTGTATGTTTCATTTTTGCATTAAAAATTTTCCAGAATGTGATTTCTGGTCAGAAATTCCTTAAGTGAACGCGCCCTTAGACTTAATATTGAAATGATGAATAGAGCAAATGATGTATGGCAGATTGACCGTAACCCCAATTAAATAATCATTTCATTTTCTTTAGATATTGAATAAAATTGTACTCATATCTTTCTCTTTCCTCTTGTCTTTGGAAAGAGAAAGTACGTACCCATCAACTTTTATCATATAGAGTGATTTCTAATGTTTGTTTTTGCTAGACTGTTTTCTTCACCACATCATCCTTAGACCAACTGAGCACATAAGCTCATTTTTGTTTTATCTTGTAATGTATTGAACCTCACCACAGGTACATCTTTAAATCAGTCTAGATATACTTGTCATATACTTACTTTTCAGTAATCTTACCTATTTGCTAGGAGATTGTATAATTTCATCTCATAAGAGATCATTCTTATCAGGTAATTGATTTGTCTTTGGAAAGAGAAAACTGTTTTCTTCACCACATCATCCTTAGACCAACTGAGCACATAATGTTGGGATAGTCATGTGTGATACAAAGTCCTGTCTACTACTACAGTCCTGTGTGACTTTTCCAATGTCCTGTCAAGTCCTGTGTGACTATCTTATGTTCTTATTTCATTTCATATTTACATAACATTTCATATTTCATTTCATAACTGTCTGCTTAACAACCTGTGCGTCATGTGACATCGAGCAGTGTAATACTTACTATATAAGCCAACTGGAACAGTGCAGGAAAGGTGCCCTCTCTTCACCTTTCCTTGCTTCTTCTCTTGCTGTTCCAGGTAGGAAATAGTTTCATCTTTCACTTGTTATCTTCATTCTGTGCAATAACAAAGATCTTACCTTTCCTTGCTTCTTCTCTTGCTGTTCCAGCTTGCTTCGAACCTAAGACATAAGCTCATTTTTGTTTTATCTTGTAACATATTGAACCTCACCACAGGTCAGTGATCTCACATATTCACTAGGAGATCGTATATTTTCATCTCATAAGAGATCATCATTATCAGATCCTCATCACAGGTGACAATAAGGTGTTTGAAGACACTCAGACATTTTCAAAGTTGGTATGTTTGGGGTGCTTGAAAGTGATGATGGAGGATAAGGTTTTTTCACAATCATTGTTTCAATTGACAAAGCATATAAAAAACAGGACACATATATCAGAGAGGGATAAAGAGAAACATTCGAGAGTAGAAACATGACTACAAGTCAATCAAGTTAAGCAAAATATATAACAACCAGACTGCAAGTCTGCCAGAGGAGAAACTTCAAGAGAGGATAGAAATAATCAATGATTTAATGAGCGGGTCAAAACAGAAGAAAGAAAAAGTTGATAATCTTGTTGGCAGACTAGGACATGAAAAGTCTCGAAGCTCGTCCTGATAACCCAAATGACGAATCTAGAGGTGAGTCTCAAATCACCTCTCGTCCTAACTACCTGACTAACCTGATAACCCAAATGATGAATCTAGAGGTGAGTCTCAAATCACCTCTCGTCCTAACTACCTGACTAACCTAAAGGTTTATAGTCAAGATGAAAAGATAGAATATGAATTTGACACGTATGGTCTCAGTATTGAATCTAGTGTTGACATGTCATCAGATGAAAAGGTCACATATTCAATTAGTAATAAAGAAATAAGAAGAAATGAGAAAGAATAGAGAGATGAAACTATAGAAGAGAAATGTGGAGTAACTCACTCTTTTCCTATACCGTGAATGAACGGATGAGGAAAAGAGAGAGTGTACACGCGTCCCAGGAGTGGCGCAATTTAAGTTGAAGATAATTAGGGTTTGAGATTTAGTTTAGTATGTTTAGTATAAAAGTTGTATTAAGACTTGTGGCTTATGTACTATTCATTTCCAGTAACATGTCACGACATCTGGAACCTCTGTCATGAGAGAAGGTCATACTCAACACACCCCCTGTTTCAGATGTCCGTGAATGACTTCCAACCCTATCTGATCCCTAAGTTCACGGAAAGGACCTGGATGTAGAGGCTTAGTGAGGGTGTCGGCAAACATGTTCTTACTGCTAACATGTCTCATTTTGATGACATTCTTCTCGACTTGCTGCCTGATCCAATGATATTGCACTTCAATATGCTTTGTGCGAGCGTGAAAGATTGCCTTTTGCGTCAATGATACTGCCCCAGTGCTATCACTACATAGAATGGTCGGATTCTCCTGCCCTAATGATATACATGACAATAGTCCTCGCAGCCATACAACCTCCTGGCCTGCTTCAGTCGTAGCTTTGTACTCTGCTTCCGTCGACGATAAGGCTACTGTAGGTTGTAATCGACTTTTCCAGCTTACCGCTTCCCCGTTGAGTTTGAATACATATCCAGTTGTAGAGCGTCGAGTGCTTGGATCCCCTGCCCAATCGGAGTCAGTATGACATTTGGGAAAGTTCCAACTTTGAATACCTTCAACTGAGGTAGCTTGAGATGAATAAACGAGACCTAGGCTTTGAGTTCCTTTTAAGTAACGTAAAACATGGAGTCCCATTTTCCACGCTGTCATTGACGGTCTAGATAGATGCTGAGACAGTGCTCCAACTGCGTAAGCTACATCAGGGCGGGTTCCTTGGGCGATGTACATCAGACTTCCAACCAGGCTATTATATGGGAGTCCTGATTGCTTGAAATCTAACACTTCTGAATCGCTGGCTTTTGAAATTTTGGTTCCCCCCGGAAAAGGCGTAGATGCTGGTTTACAATCTTCACAGTTGAACCTTTCCAAGACAGTTTGAATGAAAGCTGGTTGACTTAACGAGTAACCTCCATCTTCGTGTGAGTGAATCTCAATCCCAACTATGCAATGAGCTGGTCCTAAATCCTCCATTCGCCACTTCAACTTGAGTAGTCTTTTGATCTCTTGAATCTTGTCCCCGGTGATAGCCATATCATCTACATGCAGGTAAATTAGGGTCTCATCACCATTTTCATCTTTCCCATACCATAAGCAAGCGTCATGAGGATTTTGCACCAAACCAATTTGCTGAAATTTATCTTTTACTTCATCATTCCAACACCTAGCTGACTGTTTCAGACCGTACAACGCCTTCTTCAAACGAGCTACCTTTCCATTCGCACGTTCATCATCATCTCCTTCAGGCAACTCCAAATAGATTTCCTCTTTCAGATCACTGTTTAGGAAAGCTGCGATAGCATCCATTTGTTCTATATCCCAATCCTTTCCGGCAGCCACCGCCACCATTACTCTGAAAGAAGCTAGTCGTCCCGTTGGCGCAAAGGTTTCATTGAAGTCTATACCCTCAGTTTGAGTATAACCTTTCGCCACGTATCGAGCTTTATGCTTTGAAATAGATCCGTCTGGGTTGAGCTTGTATTTGAAGTGCCAACGTCCACCAACTACCGGTGCATCTTTTGGTCGGTCTACTATCTCCCAGACCCCCATGTCCTGTATGTTCTTCATCTCTTTGTCACACGCCTCTCTCCATTTAACGGCATCAGCTGACTTCATTGCCATTTTATAGCTCTTAGGTTCGGCTCTGGCTCTCATCGCTTCTCTACATTCAAAGATTCGAAGAGGCGTTTGTGTCATTTTAGGTACTATACTGCGCATAGCCGGAGTATGGATTATATTAGAATCACCAGGCACGTATCAATTCACTTGTTGACGATCTCGATTAGATCTTCGGGGTTCTGGTCTTGACGCTTGTTGGGGCTGAGACGGGGGACTATCAGCATCAGGGCTTGTCGGAGTCTTATTTGATTCCTGAATTGGCTTTTCTTGGGTTAAAACAGGTTTGGTAACGATCTGGGGAGTGAGACTCTCCTCAACAATGTCGTTATCATCGTCTGACTCATATGTCTGTTCTTGTACAACTTCAGGATTGTTTGTATTATCAAACGGATCATCTTCATCATCTGAGTCATGATTATGATGTGTCGGACCTGGAATCTGATCTTCCGTAGGTTCTTCTTCCTGTCTAGTCAACAAGGGTAGATCTTCAATAAAAACCCAGTCTGGATTCTTATTGGCATCCTTCATAAAGGGAAACACCAAGGGTTGAAATGTCACATCGTGACTGGTATGTATGTGATTTGTTTCTAAATCGAGGATAGTGAAATTATGATTGTCTTCCGTGGCTCCTAATAGAACCCCGGGTCTTGATACAGCTTCAAATTTTCCGCCTTGAATTTCTTTTCTGATATGTCAATAGGCTAAGCATCCGAAAGGCTGAAAGCGTTTGAAGTTACTTTGTCTTCCTTTCCACATTGAATGAGGAGTAGCTTTGAGATTGAGCGAAGTGGTAATAGTTCTGTTCTGAAGTAGTACTGAGTAAGAAACCGCATGATACCAGTATCTAATTGGTAGACATGACTGAATCATCATGCACCTAGCTTTTGTGTTTATGGTACGGTTTGATCGTTCTGCCACACCATTTTCTTCAGGTGTGTACGGTGAGGTGACTCGCACGACAATTCCAAGTGATTCAAGATAAGGAGATAAGAGACCGTTGATGAATTCTCCCCCACCGTCTAAGGAGAACATCTTCAATTTCTCCCCGGTCTGTCGTTCAGAGTAAGCTATGTAACGCTTAAAACAGTCAAAGACAGTCTCTGCACTCTTATCAGGCAGTCCGAAAGATACTCGATAACTGCTGAAGTCATCCGTGAATAGTATATAATATTCCTCACGGTTGACAGCTGTGGTTCTGATTATTCCACTTAGATCGACGTGAACGTTCTCAAGAAAAGTGGTGGCTCTGGGTCTGGTGGAGGAAAATGGCAATCGATGATTTTTGGCTAAAGGACAAACAGGGCATTTTGATATTATTTCAAAGTCTTTGGGGTTTATATTTTGTGGCAGTACATCATGAAAGTAACCAAGATTCCACATCCTTTTTAGGTATTTCTCGCTTGGGTGACCTAAGGAGTAATGCAGTTTCAGAATTGTAAGTTGGTTGACTGATGACTTTGATGACTGATGGGATTCTCGACTGACCGCTGATCGTATAGTGACATACATCATACTGCCCTCGCCAATGAATCGTCCAATGAATAGTTCTTTCTTCCCATGATCGATTCGAAAGTTTGGATCTTCAAGGACCGTGGTGACTGCGCCTGCCCTAAGAATCCTTCCACCAGCTATGAGATTTCTAGATAACTCAGGAACATATAAACACTCCTTCAATTTAATTTCTTCACCTCTTGAGTTAAGAAGCGTAACGTTTCCGATTGAATGAATGTCCAGGGTCGCGCCTCCTCCAGCTAAGTTGAGTTTTGCTTTCGGATCATCATTTGCCATCATAGTACCAACTTCGAATAGTGAAGCATCGTGGAACATATGATGCGATGCACCAGTATCGATGAGTGCTACCGAACTACACTGATCACCTACACATGCGAGTTGAGGTTTTGCCGAGCAAGAGTAATGTCCATCTATATCAACATGATAACTGAATTCGCGATCCTCTAGCTTTAATCCCTCGAATGCTGACTCGAGTTCTCTAGAATCAGGAAAGTCAGAACCACCGATGTGTCGGGAGAATCCACCAGCAAAGTGAGCGCCACCTCTTCCGCGACCTCTTGAGCTACCACGACTTCCACGAGGATACTCCACCCATTCTCCAGCGTCACGTTTGGATTTCTTCCAAGCTTCCATCTTACTGGAGTTATTGGGATGATGATAACATTCAGATGGATCGTGTGGCTTTGTCGGGTGATCTCGGCCAATGCATCGATTCTTGCTACAGGTCTGCCAACGGCCGGTACGTCTTCCATGGCTCGCTTCTGATGTATCCACTACACGACTAGATTGCTGTCTTCCTGAGTTGAACATCTTTCGAGTTTGATAGGTTTTCTTCAATTCAATCTCGAGATCTCTGAATTTGATGTGACCAGCATCAAGTAAGTCGCATCCTTTCTCTGCCCACTCTCTGTTAAGAGATCTAACGAATTGACGAGCTTGCTCTTCCTCAGACATTTCACCGTTTGCACCCAAGTAAGCATCAACCTTAGCTCGAAACATGTCAATGTACTCGAGTAGGTCTTTGGTCGATCCTTGGGAAAGGTCGGTGATTTCGCTTCTTAACATAAGCTTGACTGATTCAGAGTTACTGATGTGATAATCGCGAATGGACTTCCAAAGTATCATTGGAGATGTTGGGGTTTTCTTGACACCGTTTTCGAAAGTGGATATCATCGAGATGAACCGAGTGGACTGAGTCTGTTCCATATTGGCGAGTAACCAATGAAATATGCTCTTCTTGGTAGCTAGGTGCACGCTGGGATCAACACCATCAGAATGAGCTGATTCCGAGTCGAGGTATTCATCGTATGATGCTGCAGCTCCTAGCCCGAATCGAATACTGTCGGACCAAGGTGCGTAATTGGTAGCATCAAGCTTTATGTTGATGGTAATTTTGGAAAGAATACCATTAACTCTGATCGACTGGCGCTGAGCAGGAGTCTCGTAATTGGTAGCCTGATTATTGGCCATGATTAACGCGGGAGAAGGATTGTTTGGGACTAAAGTGTGGGTGGAATGGAAAGATTCTGAAGATGTATCTTTGTTGTTGCCTTCTGTATCACTTTCGGCGTCTGTTTCTTCAAACTCGTTTTCTGGAGCTGGGGTGGAAGCTGGTGTAGGTAGTAAGCTATCTTCAGAGGTATCTTCTCTGCTAGACATAGGCTTCGGCTTTTGACTTCAATAATTGAGAGATGAACTAATCTCTCGCTACCATGAAAAGTCTCGAAGCTCGTCCTGATAACCCAAATGACAAATCTAGAGGTGAGTCTCAAATCACCTCTCGTCCTAACTACCTGACTAACCTAAAGGTTTATAGTCAAGATGAAAAGATAGAATATGAATTCGACACGTATGGTCTCAGTATTGAATCTAGTGTCGACATGTCATCAGATGAAAAGGTCACATATTCAATTAGTAATAAAGAAATAAGAAGAAATGAGAAAGAATAGAGAGATGAAACTATAGAAGAGAAATGTGGAGTAACTCACTCTTTTCCTATACCGTGAATGAACAGATGAGGAAAAGAGAGAGTGTACACGCGTCCCAGGAGTGGCGCAATTTAAGTTGAAGATAATTAGGGTTTGAGATTTAGTTTAGTATGTTTAGTATAAAAGTTGTATTAAGACTTGTGGCTTATGTACTATTCATTTCCAGTAACATGTCACGACATCTGGAACCTCTGTCATGAGAGAAGGTCATACTCAACAGGACATTTAAATTAAATTCTACCCAATATTAAATGTGACATGAAAGAGTCATACACCAGAAAGAACCCTGGAGGAACACAAGTGCATAACATGCCATCACCCAAGCAGTCAATCAAGTGGCTGGATGTGCTGACATCATTTGAACTCATGAGAATAATCACTATGGTAGAACCAGTTGAAGTTTGCTGGGTAGGCAATGCCTCAATGTTGTACAGTGTTGGCATGAAGATAGGAGATCATGGGGGTTGCTTTATGCTGTTTGGAAATTGGAATGAAGTTCATGAAAGGGAGCAAAAAGAAACATTGCGTGGATTAAAACTGTTGCAGTGCACCTTTGACCCCTAATGCTAGCATAAATCTCTGGAAAAAAAGGAAGGTGATTCAAGGTGTGGACCAATAACATGACCACCAAATCTGCAATGCAATATTTGAGATCTAAAGATAGAACAGTCAATAACAAGCCCAAGCAAATTGTCAGCCCCAATTACATATGTCCATACCCAAGGACTAACTTGTAACATATAAACAAGCCTTAAGAAACCTCATTACATGTACATGAAGCTCATAAAACATTTATGTAGCATGTAGCAAAACATCTATGTACAAACACTAATATGTATACATGTACACTCAAAACCACATGTAATATGTAACTGAACACCAATTACCCCTCATAACTTGGTGTCAAGAGTTAAAATGCTTATACTACATAATTATATACTCAACATGTATATGTAATTAAGTATAAGTATGAGTAATAATAATAATAATAGGCAATTGATAAACCATGCCAACATGAAAACTGGTTTGACACCGGTTTTTCTCAAACAGGACTCCTTCGGAAGATTTACAGCTGTTGTGAGAATCATTGGTAACTTTTCTCTCAAATGTGTTGCATCAAGATTTAACCCAAATCAGGCAAAAACCCAAAAAACCCTTTTTTGACAATTGGTACCGTGAGATAGATGTCATTCGATGGACATCTAATGACATTTCTCCGAGTCGGCGGATCTCACAAATATCATATGTATAGTTTTGAGACCAAGAAACCCTTTGTACATATACAGGGATATGTCCAAAGGGGTTTTCTCTTCTCGTCCCATCCTCTTTCTCCCATTGCCTCTCCTTCCTCGCCAGTCCTTGCCTCAGGACTTTTGTCAGCCCTGGGTACATATACATGTACCCAAAACCTACTTATAATATTGAACTTTTACTTATAAACCTAATTACATGTACATACAGCTTATAAAACACATGTAACATATAATAAAACATATACAAACATCAACTACACCTCATAACTCAGTGTCAAGAGTTAAAATGCTTATACTACATAAATTACATAACACGTATATGTAATTATGTAATATTAATAATATTAATAATTCATAGTAGTCATCAAACCCTAAACCACAGTAATGATACAATCAAATATCACTACAATTAGGTTTGGAGAGGAGAGTATATAAACCCCTCCTCTCTCAGCCTTCAAGGACTTTCCTCCAAGCATTTTTTTACACATATTGTTTAAAGAACCCTTTAAAGTTTATTTGAAGTACATAATCAAAAGTCTTATAAATATAAGACTAGTGATTCACTTCATCACTTTAAAGCAGATTCCTGCCTAAAAGATAAAGTAATTCTTTCTTCATCCCTTGGATCCTCTACTTTCCCCAAGTAGAACTTTTCAGGTTAGTAACCTCTCAAAGAACTCCAGGTTAGTCACCTTTTGAACAACTGCAGGTTAGTAACCTTTATCAACTCACAGGTTAGTGACCTTTTGAACAACTGCAGGTTAGTGACCTACAACAACTCACAGGTTAGTGACCTTCTGAATAACTACCAGTTGGTGACTATAAATAACCAGGCTAGTGTCCTACATATCATTCTTTAATCCATTACCTTGAAGATTAAAGGAGGGCCTTGGATCCAGCCTTCTATTGTTGTATTTCAAACCTCCTTCTAAGGAGTCATTTAACTGTAGTCTGTCTGGATTTATCCAAACAGACTGTCAGTCTCATTTCCTTTCTTTCTTTTATTTTTTATTTCTAATTGTATTTACAAAATTATCTTTGAAATACAACTACTTTAAATAAAAAGAACCCACCTTACCTTCCCATAGTGAGCCTAGAGTACTCTAAAGAATACCCTACCCTCACAACTTTCTCTTATCATTTCTTTATTGCTCTTGCCCAAAATCTATTTCTATTTCTATCCAACTGACTTTATATATCTGCTCTCCTTCAAACATCTTCTCTCGATTTGATATACAAATTCAGCTTTTTTTATTTTAACTTCCAACAACAATCCTCTTTTCAATATTGATTATGCCCAAGAACCTTTACAGCACCAACATTAAGCTTGTGGTGGTTAGGATGGTACTACAAGGCTTGACTTTTCCAGAAATCACACGGTCAATGGGCATTGATCTCTCACTCACCACGGTCCGTTGTTGGTTTGAAATTTATTGCACAACTTGGGCAATGGTCACCAATCCATTGGACCACATGCAAGCCGGCGCACCTTCCGCTCTAGGAGAACCTGAGAAAGACTTTGTATTGCAAGCCCTGGAACTTGATCCGACCCTTTATCTCAATGAACTCAAGAACAAGATTCAAGAGACTTTTTGCAGAAAGGTCTCCCTGAAGACTCTCTCCACCAAACTTCGATCTTGCCCATGTTGGACAAGAATAAAATCCCGCACGGTCCATCCCAACCAGTCCGTGATTGCCCGTGGTGCCTATATTGAGGAAATATCACAAATCGATCCTTGCTGTCTAGTTTTTGTTGGTCAGTTTGTGGCAGTGAGCTTCTTTCATAACTGTGATGTGTTTTACTAACAGAGGCTATTTTGATTTGACAGATGAAACGGCAATATCAAAACAATGATTGTATTGGACTCACGCACGTGCTCCTATTGGTAAATGGACCTCCCGCCTCCAGAGGCCCACTCAGGCGTACCATTGGTCAGCGTTGCCAGCAATCTCCATGGATGGTGTCGTAGCCGTGTCCATTCAACCCGGCGGGTACTCTAGACTCGACTTTGAGTCGTTTTTGGAAAACGACTTGGTAAGTCCACTTTTTGGTTTCCTTGGTTCTGGTTCAAGTGTTATCTGTAACTAACATGTCTATTTGTGTAATAGCTCCCAGCCATGAATCATTTCCCTGCTCGGAATAGTGTTCTGGTTATGGATAACGCGCCTATCCACCACGGTGGCAGAGTAGAGGAACTCTGTGCCGCCCGTGGTGTGAGGTTGGTTTATCTCCCCGCATACAGCCCCAATTTCAACCCAATCAAGAAAGGCTTTTCGGTTCTAAAATCAAGACTTAGACGTTCTCAAGTTTTGCAACAGGTTCTGAATGCTGATGATGAGAAGGCTGCGTTATTCATTGCATGCATGGAGTTATTTACTGAAGACCTTTGTGAAGGTTTTTTAAGAGGAAGTGGTTATTTATAATCACCCCAATATTTACAATTTTCAAAATTCTGTTTTAGTTAGTAAAGTGCGAGGTATTTGGATACTCATGAAGGCAAACCTGATTTCTTCTCTTTTTTAGAACTTATGAATCTAAAGATCTGTCAGCCCTGAGTACATATACATGTACCCAAAACTAACTTGTAATAGAGAATTATCATACACAAACCTAATTACATATACATACAGCCAATAGACAGTATGTAACATGTAATAAAACATATAACAATAATAATTACATATGCATGTACACTTAAAACCACATGTAGTATGTAATAAAACATCACTCACACCTCATAACTCAGTGTCAAGAGTTACAATGCTTAGGTTCCAAAAGCTTATACTACATAATATACTTAGCATGCAAATGTAATCAAGCATAATTAGTAATGATCATAACAATCATTAACAACCAACCCTAAACCAATGTTGTGATACAAACAAATACCACTACAGTTAGGTTTAGAGAGGAAAGTATATAATCCCCTCCTCTCTCAGCATTCAAGAAAATCCCCAAGCATTTTTATTACACACCTCTTTTAAAGAACCCTTTAAAGACTCTTTTGAAGTACATAATCAAAAGTCTTATATAATATAAGACTAGTGATTCACTTCATATCTTTAAAGTAGCTTCCTGACTAAAAGATAAAGTAATCTTATTCTTCATCCTCTGGATCCCTACTTCCCCTAAGTAGAACCCCCTTATCAGGTTAGTGACCTTCCAATAAACATCAGGTTAGTTACCTCTAGAACAACTGCAGGTTAGTGACCTATATCAACTCATAGGTTAGTGCACCTTCTGAACAACTGCAGGTTAGTGACCTATATCAACTCAAGGTTGGTGTACCTTTTGAATAACCATAAGTTGGTGACTTTATAACAACCAGCGTAGTGATACTACACATCACTCTTAAATCAGTCACTTTGAAGATTGAAGGAAAGCCTTGGATCCAGCTTTCATATTTCTTATAATTAT